ATATGATGATTCTAAGTATTATTTTAAAAAAAATAAATTAAAAGAAATAAGAAAAATATTTGAAGAAGCAGATAAAAAGCTCTTTAACCTTCCAACAGTTACTGCAACTGTTCATCCAAATGCTATTTATACAAGTAGATTATTCAATTTTACAAATCTTCCACAACCTGTAAACTCCAATAAAGTTACAATTATCAGCAACAATATTGGTAATTATCATCAATTATTTAATTTTAAAATTCATTTAATACCAGCATTAATATTATTTATTATGTTATAAATTATCACATTTACAGAACATCAAATTGATTTAGATAATATTAACGGTAATTATTTGATTATTGATTTTAAAATTTAACATCAACACAATTATTACATATATTATAGTAATAACAATGGTAACCACATTATTTTTATTATGTTATAAATTATCATATTTATAGATTCTAACCAAATGGATTTAGAAATTTAGACCTACAAATAAATTTCACTCATTTGATTATTGGAATTTTACATCAGTTTTTATTATTGTGAGAAAACATTATTTTTATTTTAATGACATGATCAATCACTTTATTTATTTAGATATCAACATGTTATATTTTGTCTATCTTATAGTTCATGCCAATTACAGAGATTTAATTGTAAAAGTTTCAGTCAACCAGTAAAAAAAAATTTTTATTTGTTAAACTGGTTTCATTTAAATCATTTTATTTTCCTATGATAATAGTTTTGGGTGTTGTAACAGTTTATATATATTATATATTATTTAATTATCATAAACAAACTTTCTTTTTAAAAATAAAATTTCATTAAGAACTTTGGAACTTAACCTTGATTTTTTTTTGTGGAGAACTGAATGATTTGTAACAAACAATTTTTTGTACATTTTTATTATTATTTGATTGCCTTATAAGCTTTTTTTCTAACAGGATTAATTGATAAAGGATGTAAGTTGGAAAACAAAAATTGCATTATTTAAAGAACAACTTCATCATCACCAAGCTTTAATGATCAATTTATTGTGATTCAACAATAAAAAAATTTCAGCATTCTTTGAAGATTTAAAATACAATGTACCAAAACCTGTGTAAAGGTCATTCTAAGTACCAATATTGATCAACCTATGTTGCTTCAACTCAGACTTACAGTCACTAGGTTCTATTTAAATAATTATATCCCAAAGGCATACCCTTGAGATGTATCTGAATAATTAAAAGGGTTCCAACTAATAATTAAAAGTTGGCCAGACCATTAACCATTAGAAGGGCTGGGGGTCAATCACAGTGGGTTTATTAGTTGCTTACAGTCAAAGACTATTTATGTAAGGTTATTATATTTATTAAGAGTTATTATTATGTTGTTGTTATCAAGGTTGTTATCAACATTATTAACAATTGATTTATTCTTTTAACTTGGTCTAAAGCCAAGTGTATTTATACCTCTTGGAGCAGTACAAATAACATGATGTGTGCTATTCTACATGCCACCGGCTTACACCAGATTTTGAACTAGTTGATGTCCTACTTGCAATTGAAAAAATGTCATATACACATTCAAATCAAACAATTCTTGAATATCTAAAAATAAAATTAATGAATTTGGGCTTGAAGGGAAATTAATTTGTGGCATAACTGATAATGGAAGTAACATGAAAAGCATTTGAGTTGTGGGAAGAAGTTGAACGAATTCCATGCACTGCTCATGTACTTCAATTAACTATAAATAAAGCACTTGGATCAATCAAACCATATGTCAAAAGATTTAAAAAATTGGTTAAATTTTTCACATCATCTCCAAAACAAACTGAAAGGTTAAATAATGCCCAATTAGAAATTTCTGTATGTGGTGGTCATCAATGAGATTTGGGTTAGAATAATTCAATACATTTTCAAAGTAATGATGATGGAAATGATAATAGTAATAGCAATAATGATAATGGTAGTAATAATGATGATGATGATGATGATGATGATGATGATGATGATGATGATGATCAAGAAACTAATTTAAACAATATAAACATATTAAGAAATGTGGCAGCTGTTAAAACAAGATGGAATGCATCTTATAATTCATGGATTAGATTGTTGAAGTTGTGAAAGTCAATTGAATGGTTGGCAAATACTTTACCTTATGAATCTGGAAAAAAATCTAAATCTGATGTTCATAGCTTAAATATTTATTATTGAAGAATTATGAATGTGAATTACTAGAAAAAATTTTGTCACTTCTTAAACCTTTTGAAGAGGCAACAAATTTTTTTCTGGTACTTGATATCCCATTTTATCATTAATGTATCCAATTATACAAAAATTAAAAGTAAAGTTTGCGTGTGGAGAAGAGCAGGATGGTAAAGAATTTGATATAAGTGTGTATTTTTGATTATGATATGTTATAATAATTTTTAAATAATTTGTTTTTAGGTGATGATGATGACAGTGATGATGACAATAATAACAATGATGATGACAATGGCAATAATGAACCATTAATTCATAAACATTTTACCTGATCACAAACTTCAATCCCACCAAGACAAATCTTAACAATGTTCTAGTGATTATACCAAATGATTTGCATTTGTTGATAGTATTAGAAATTGGTTTTATCTCCCCATTAAAACCATTATACCAAGGCTGCATTGGAATCATCATTTCACCTTTAATTATTCTTTTCAGATTTTGTATAATATCTTTGGGGTTAAAACTTGGAATGTCAGTACTCCAACCTACTCCTATACCTTTTGCACCATTTACTAGGACCATTGGTATGATAGGAACATACCATTTTGGTTCGATCTTTTGTCCACCTTCATTTGAATAATCTAATGAATCATCATCATCTGGATGATAAATTAGCCTTGCAAAATGGGAGAGTCTGGTGCTAATATAATGAGCACTTGCAGCACCTTTAAGGGTAGGCTCCATGTGTAACACATATAAAGTAAATTATGCGGGATATAGATCTTTACTATCCCTATTTTTGTTCACTAAACAATTTCCATTTATAGAAACAAGGTTTAAGGAATGAGGGATAA